GTAAAGTACTGGATACATGCTCATTGGTTCATGATCAGAAGTGTAATTGAGGAAGAATAATCCAGGAACAGTATAGGATGGATTTGAGAGAAAGAATGGAGACAAGAGATGAGTAGGAAGCTAATGAAGTGATTCAGCTTAAAGACATTAAGATAATTGAGGAAGATCGAGATGCAAAAGGAGAATTTGAGATGATCTCAAGATTTTCAATGTAGTAACACAGAGGATGATGGCACCATTAACTGTTTTGGAAACTAAAAAGGTAGGAGGAGAAAGAGGATTCATTAACATTTGGAAATGAATGCATTTAGTATTAATACTCAAAGTTCCTTCCAGTCAAGTTGCTCTTGCCTTAGAGAAAACATAAAATTCTGTGCTCAGGGTCATGTCTCTGCCCTTCTAACCTGTGGTTTTTAGGAGAAGGTGCACAGCTCTTCCCTGCCCCCCTCTGCCATTGCCCATGGAGGGGGTTGAAGCATCCTTTCTAGTCACTTAATCTGACATAGTCCACTCCAATGCCCACGACTACTTTCAAGGATTACTCTCCCTCTCCATCCACTTGCAAAGGGAACAGCTGATCCAGAGGAAAGCTGGGCATGATGTCTTGGGGTATGCTTCCTCCCACCTTTTGAAAAAAGGATTTGTAGACATCTGCAGGGTTAGTGGAACCTGTGTAAACTTGAGTTCCTCCCAATCTGCCATGGTGCCACCTGAAGGACTCCATAAACTCAGCATCTCTTACGAGGTAGACCAAGGCTATAGCCTTGACTCAGGCTTCCATCCATCAAGACCAAGCTTTCAGTCATTCCTTTACTCAGTTTCTCTTAACAAACTCTACTTGGTACTGGGGAAACAGATGAAAGTCACAGCCTATAGCCTTAAATTGAGAGCTCACAGATGGCGAACAATGGTAACAAACCACTGCAAAGCACTATATTTTAAAATCGGAATGTGTACAAGACCATGCCTAGTAAACTCATGGGGAGTGAGGCAAATTGAGAAGATGAACTACTTCTTTGATCGTTGGAGAAAACTTTGAAGGGGGCAACTAACACTTGAATTTTGAAAGATAAGTCGGATAGGCATGGAGCAGGGCAATGTGAAAGCATGCCCAAAGGCAGAAAGGATGGAACAGTGAGGCTTTTTATGGGGCTTGGAGTCCAGAGTCTGTGTAGAAGAGTGGCAAGACTAAAGCCAAAATGTCTGCAGAGACCAAATCAAGAAGGGCTTTGAATACTTTGCTCAGAGGCTTAGAGCTTCTCCTCAAATCAGCAG